AAAAAATATATTATTCTACCCTCTAACTCTATCACAACTACAATACAAAAGAAAACAACAAGCCAAAACTTATAGGAGGAATTTACTCTATCAACAGCAACGATTGTCAGAAAGAATATAATGGTGAAACCTCAAGAAGTTTAAATAAAAGACAAGATGAAAACAAAAAAGACATTTTTAAAAAAAACATGTATTGGTTGTTCACTATAATGAAACTGGCATAAATTTGACGTAAAAAATGCTACTTAAATTAAAAGAGAAAATAATACACTAAGATGAAAATGTTTAGAAAGTACTCTAATCACTTGTTCAGCCACAGAAAATTTATGTTCAGGGTCTTATAACATTTCACCATTCTTGGCAGATTTTTTGTTATCAAAATGTGATATATTTAAAAAGAAAGATGATGGAAAGAAAAAGAATAATAAAAAGAAAATTTTGCGAGATTGCAAAAAAATTATTTTAAAAAATTTTGAAACTACCAGCATCTCTCATTCATGCATTTGTGTAGTCACAACAATGTCAACAAAGCCAGTCCAATGAAGTCCTAACGGATGAAACACATCACAAATAAAATTTTTACATTTTGTCTTACAATTTTTCCAATACTGTTCTTGATATATATATATATATATATATATATATATATATAGTCCCATATTTCCTTCCAAAGTATTGGAATGGCAATGGCAATTTCTTTGTTTTTGTTGTTGACTGAAGACGTTCAGAATTTCAGCTTTAATTTCCTGGTATTTACATTTAGATGTGTTTCCAGTGAACAAGAAAAAACAAAGGAATTGGCCTTGCTGTTCTAATACTTTTAGAAGAGATTACATATTTGGGCAGTAACCTTTCTTTTAGACATCATTCATTAAATATAGCAGATGAGAAAGATTTAATTTTTTTAATTGGTATCATCCCATGCAATGAAGTAAAGCCACTAAGACACAAGGGGTTACAGGGTGAGAATTAACTAGGAACAGAAACATTAATAATGAGTAGAAAGAGGAAAGTGTAATCAGAAGGACAGTAGATAGTGATTGACATTGGATTTAAATTTTTGCAGATTAAAGTTGGCTGGAAAGCATTGAGCAAGGAAGGGTGTTTGACAACTGAGAAGTGTGAGAAAAGAAACTGTTAGCATAGAATTTATGGTTACATCTAGTCAGCTCGACTGTAAATTGATAAGATATCAACACTAGTCTAGTACTGCACTTAAATTCAAAAGGTCTACGTACCAAAGCCAAAAGCCTGTCTGAACAATTGCCATGAAAGTTTATATACAAAAGACAAAGATGGGGAACCTTATGAAGGTGGGAAATGACTGAAGTTGAGATAGCAGATCAGCACCAATAGTATTGCTGATTCTTTTTTGGATTTTATCAAGGTACTCATTAATTTTTATTTAGTTTTACCACCATCCTTGCGTTTTTCATTTTAAGGAAATACAAAAATTTACCATAATTTTCACAGTTCCAAGTGCTTTGAGCCATCTCTCTCTCTCTCTCTCTCTCTATATATATATATATATATATATATATATATATATATATATCTGACTCTCTCGTTGAATTCGACGTATGTGGGTCAAGCAGATCAGTTCCTAGGAAACCAACAGCATGACAACAGCACATGAGATTTGATTATAGTGGTGAAGGTTACGTGCAGGACCACCCATACTTTTTGAAGGGCCGAATACAGAGACCTGGTGCACTACGTGCCACAAGGTCCCCAAACGAGCCTCATGTTTTGAATTCAGAGTATATATATATATATATATATATATATATATATATGGAGAAAAGAAATTAATTTTTATATACCAGAACAATGTCAGAAAATCAATGAGAAAGTGGAAAAAAAATTTTAGTTGATGCATTTCATCCTTCAGACTAAACTTACATTGAAGATGGAAAATATGACAACAAAATCTGAAAACACATTGGAATAGTAAAAAGATGCTTTCCAAAAGCTAAGAAAAGTATTATGAAACAGGAAACTTTCATTGGAAATGAAGAAAACAACATTGAATTGTGATGAAATATCAGTCCTCACTTGTGGCAGTGAACAACAAACTCCTCACAGATGAAGTGAAGACTTGTGGCAACAGAAATGTGGTTCTACAGAAGGATGCTGAGAATACCATGGACTGAACATGTAAGTAACAAGGAAGTTTTAAGGAAAATGAAACCAAAAAACAAAGTTTTTACTTAGAATCAGGAGGAAATACTTGAAATTTCTAGGATACATAATGAGAAAAGAGGGCTTGGATAATTTAACACTCACAGAGCATAGTTGTCCTGGGTATGGCGATAAACTACATCCAACATCAAGGGTTTTGATTGGGAGGTTTTGAGGTGTGAGGAACTATCTCTTAATTGCTATAGTTAACCCCCAAACTAGGTCCAAACCACTATTAAAGTATAAATATATATATTTTTAAGGCAATTAACCCCAAGCAAGGCGGGAGTGCCACTAGCACGCAAGGGGTTACTTGAGGATTGAGAGCAAGAGTAAAGAGGCGTGTTTAAGGAAAAGATACAGAGAAGGACGGGGAAACAAGCTTAGTGTGTCAGATGTTGATTGACATTACACTTAAATATTTATAGTCATTGGGGAAGCAAGTAAGGCAGTTCCACAGACGGGAAGTGCAGGAGAAGCTGTTTGAGTAGAAGAGATGGTTACATTTAACTGTTTTGACAGTGAAAGGGTGGGACTGAGATGCCAGCCTGGTAGATTTATAGTAAAAATACCAGCAATACATTTTCATAGTAAAAAAATTACCAGCAATACATTTTTGTAAAACAAATTGCTACTACTCCCAAGAAAATTAAAATTTGGTATTAAATGACTAATAAGGAGTTGCTATGCCACTAAACAGGCCATCGGGGGAGGCAAAAGTGAAACAGTAGGTAACCTATCTAACGAGCTTGTGTAAAAAGATGTCAGAATATGGACTGAAAGAGATGGCAAAAGACAAAACCTTCTGAAAGGTTAAGAAGTTGTAGAGAGCCATGATTGCGCACACTCCCTGAAGGCACATGGCACATAGAAGAAACAAAAACAGAATTTTCTGACTTAGAGCAGGTATTGCAAATTAATTCTTTAAAATAGGATCATACTGTTAGATTTCATTTTAGATTCTGAGTATACATCACGTGGAAAATAAAGTTAATTATGATGCAGACAAGAAACTTAAAAGGTTCAAATCTCATTTCCTTTCTTGATATTACTTTTGTACTCGAAATGACAAAATAATTATTATTTATATGAGAAGCCGCACAAATGTGTGTGTTCTTTGCTTAAATAGTTCCAGCTTATCCTTCCTATGAATTGTAGTATCTGTAAGATATCTCAATGTAGGAGAGTGTTATTTAATTAAAAGTGATGTATATTTTAAAAAGAATTTTTTTTTTCTTTTTTCATCTCATATTCCAAATCTACTCTAAAATGAGCGTAGCATTACATGACTATTATATAGGTGTTGATATCTCGTAAAAGTATATTGATTACGCCCATCAATAGATGCCAAATTTGTTCCCTTTGGCAGGGGTAAATTTGGGGGGAGGCTTCAATAAAGATTTACAGAAAATGCATTTTATGAACATTTGGACAAAATGATGAAATTGTTTGCCTTGTTTCATATATATATATATATATATATATATATATATATATATATATATATCAATGAACACACACACACACACATCTATGTATAAACAAATAAACACACATATGTACAAATAAATAATCACGTATATCTATAAAAAATAAACACACACATATATAATAACCACCCCGCACACAAATACATAAACACATATGTATGAATAAACACACATGCATAAAAATAAACCACACACACACACACACACACATACACACCTATATAGATATATAAATGAATACATATGTATAAAAATAAACACACACACATATATATAAACACACTCATATACACATTTTATATATATATATATATATATAAATATTGCACACACATATGTCTACAAATAAACACAGCCACATACATAAGTAAATAGACAAATAGATGCATAAATACACACATGTATAAATAAAAACACACATATTTATATATGTATACATAAATAAATACACAGAGTCACACTCACACATATATATTTATAGATAAACACACACAATATATTTATAAATAAATAAATACATACATAATATATATGAAACACACATGTAACATATGATACAGGCAAGCTTATATAATAAGCATGCACATATAAACACACACACACACATATATATATATATATATATATATATATATATATAGATAGATAGATATATCTGTATGTGTTGATGTATGACACATGTGTTCAATTCTATATTTATATGTCTATGTATTTAATTTTATATAAAATTAAACACATATACAGTATACATGTGCATTTATATATAACACATGCACATATGCAAAGTGTGAAAGTGGTGTGTTTGCGTCTGATCATCACCAATATTTGACAGCAGGCATGCCACTAAGTTTAAGCGAATATCTTCTGACATCCATACCTTTTGCAGAAACCGAAGACATGTAAATGGCAGCCTTCAGGCATTCTGTATTTCCAATTCTTAATAAGATTAGCACTTACTGAAGAAAAGAAATTCAACCAGAGGAAAGGAAATTTTCTGGAAAATGCTCAGTGCAAAGATTTCAGCTGAAGCTTTTTTAGTTTATTAATTGTTCAATCGCTGCAGTCGAGCGAAAAGAGTTGTTGATCAAGTAGTATTAGTAGTGACGAGGCTTGTTCTTTAAGTAACAATGTAGACAAAATAATAAACACTAGTTTGGAACCAGTCCTTCTTTTGCTGACTAAAAGATAAACAATTTTCAAATCTAAATTGACTATTAAAATACTACATTCATTAGAATATATATTTAGTTTAAATACAGAAGTAATCATGAAAAAATGATTTCAAAAGGATACACATTTCAGCTTTTCCAGTTAAGTTTATGGTAACATCATGCTGAAACACTGGTTCTGGTATGATCACTGAAATTAAGCAATGTCAAGACTGGTCAGTACTTAGATGGGTGACCACTTGGGAATACCTGATGCTGTAAGCGAGGATGTGTGGGTAATGTAAGGGATGATGACTCAGAATTGTTAATTAGAGAGCCAAGTTCCAATTCCAGTTGAGTTTGTTATATACACTTACATAAAAATAAACTTGGGAAAGGTACGAATTCACCTCTTCACCCTCCCCCAGTTATGGGTTATTTAGTAAGACGTGCATCACTAAATCATTATTATCTCCCTAAAAGAAAAAAAAAAGTTCTTATAATATACAAATATTTTCTGACTTTAAATAACCTGCAAATGTTTGATGAGTTGTAGAAAATGAATGAATCAGATCAAATCTTTTCCTTTTACCCAAAGATTCTTGCAAGACAGAAAAAGTAATTAGACCTTTTAAAATTGATGTACATTTCCATTCCAATTGTGTGTGTGTAAGTGTGCATTAAATGTTGGTTGGAAAACATGGAGCTGGTAGAGAGTTCCACAAGCGAAAAGTGTGAGAAAAGAAATTTTTAGCATAGAACTTATTGCTACATTTAGCCAACTCAACAGAAAATTGATGAGACCATGTTGCTAATCTAGTACTGCACTTAACTGATGAGATCTTGTTGCTAATCTAGTACTGCACTTAACTGATGAGACCTTGTTGCTAATCTAGTACTGTACTTAACTGATGAGACCTTGTTGCTAATCTAGTACTGCATTTAAATTCAGAAAGTCTCAGTATCATAGCAAAGAGTTTGTCCAAACTACCATGGAAGTATTTATAGAAAAGGCATGGAGCAATCTACATTACGGCAGTGGAAAAGTGACTGAAGCAGAGATGCCAGGTTAAGACTGAGAGCATGGCAGATTCTTCTTTAGGATTTTATAAAGAATCTCTAAATGTATAGCAGGAGCACTGGACCATATGTGACAACAATATTCAAAACAAGGAAGAATAGGAGACATAGATATCTAAGATAGATTCTAGAAAGAAAAATTGTCTAGCATCCCACAGTTAACCAGCATTCCTCGCATCCAACCTAGCAATGGATTCAATATAATCTTTCTACTTCAGCTGAGGGTGTTAGCCTGAGAAGGCACAATGTGTCACCCTCCTGGAGGTTAACATTAGCCATGTTGACGGAAGGCAGAAAAAGGTCTCACATGATTAATTGAGAGCCGTTTAGTTTTGGAGATATTAAAATTAACAAGCCATTCCTTGCCCCAGTTAACAACAGACTGTACATCATTTTTCAGATCAACTGTCAAACTGATCAGACTTATTATCGAAACAGGAGTGAATGGTCAAGACTTGATGTTATCAGGAAGGTCATTGGTGAAAAAGTAAGTCATTGACAAGGAAGGAGGTTATGTTGAAAAATGAATATTTGTTGTATAGAATAAATATTTTTTCATCAGTAAGACATGGACTTGTTGATTTACATATATATTCATATCTTCTTGCTTACATATGTCAGTGATTATATGCTTACTTGTTTGACGGAAGCCTTCAGTAATGAAATTTTTCAGCCTCAAACATCGAGACTAATGTATAGTTATTTATTTTGATAAACAAGATAGCATTAAAAATAAGTTTAAATTAACTTCCCTGTATATTACTATTAAAGGGCACTACAATAGTACTGTTGTCATATCTGGGTAGGAGTTGGCAAGATCTCACTTTCCAACTTTAATAGTATTCAAAAGCATCTCTGAGCCCTTGTGGGTGATGAATTATTCTCCACCTTTCAAAGCCTCTCCTACAGACAAGACGCGGCAAGCCTCTCACTGCTCTACTGCTACTTCCATGGAAAGTGCTCAGATGAACGACATTCCCTGGGCCCACCAAGGCAAACCTTTATGGCAAGAACATGCCATGTAACTTAGATAGTAGCAAGCCACCCACATTTCTTCCATATTCCTTCAGTGAGAAATAAGTTCCACTTGAGCAGCTTCTTCCTGTGAACCACTATCCTGTGGAATTGACTCCCAACAGGATATTTCCCTGATTACTACAATCTTAATCTATTCAAGGCTAGGGCTAATTGTTATCTCCCTCACCTATAGACACAAATGGTCTAACATATCCCTCTACCTCTAGTGGCCCCAGGGCTTTGTAATGGGTGACTTTCACTGTTAAAAAAAAAAAAGAAATGGTTAACAAGTTTCTCTTGCAAAATCAATTCAGACTGAGAAGTGAATTTGATTGTTACTGGGTGGTCACATCTAAGCTACACTTAGGTTCTGCCGCCAGGTTTTTGTTCTGGTGAGGAGAGTGTCTAGGCATCCAGCAGGATTGAAAACAAAATAGAAGCAAATCTGTCGCAGGTGTTGCCATAAATGCATCTTGGATATACTAATATTGTGTGTCCTCTACCACCTGTCAACCAATGAAAATATTGCTCCATCGAGAAAAGCAGTTGGTGTTCTTGAATTGATAAAAAGTCATTTATTTTTCTATTTTCTCCGTCAGATTTCATGTTGGATTTCTGATTGTTTATGTGTACTGGGATTTGTGACATTGGATCTGCGATTTGTGATTCTAACATTTCTTTCTGTCCCTGGACTTACAATTTGTTTATTTTTTTGTGGAAGTAAGCTGCCATATTAATTGTTGAATACATATTAGTTGGCAAATCAGAGTGAGTGCCTCCTCAGAGATCATGCCTGATCTGAACATAAAGTATAAATTGTCTCCACTCTGTACAATTTAAAGTCAGTTCTTTCCAATGCATTCAATTTCATAGCTATCAGGTATATGCGGCAGATAAACTGTATCCTTGATTGAATTGATTGGATCCGCATGGCCTACAACCATCCTGTGTACCACCATATGCCTTTTCAGTCCAGATAATGATTTGTAAACCTTGTTCCGAACAACACAAGTATTGTTGGCAGGATGATGAAGCAGGTTGGCATCATTGGCTTGCTTCTGGCTGTGCTGATGACCATTCAGATGGTTAATCTCAGGGCTACTCAAAGTGAGATATAATGTCCAAGGTGGGATTAATTGCCATCTAGGACACAGACTATATTAACATGTATGGAGGCAAGAGAGGCAGAGGAAAACAGAAAGTAACTTACCTAACTAGTTTACCTAGCTCACTGTAAGCGGATGGCAGGACAGATAATAGAAGGGATAGTGAAAAGAAAAACCTTACTAGGAGTAAAAAAGCATAGGAAGTTGTAGAGAGGCATGAAGACAGACAGCACACAGGAGAAAAAGATATATATATATATATGAAGAAATGTAGTCTTAAGATGTGCTATATTTATGGGATAAAGTGTTCAATATCAGAGGTAGAATGTGTGTAAATATAATCTGTAAATATATCTGTTTCATGCTAGATGCAATCATCAGGCCACGAGTGCTGTTATTTTCCTCGGCTATTTATATATATATATACAGGTCAGTGGTGCATTGTGGGTAGTCTATTTTGGTGGTTATTTTACCAGAAGTCATTTATTTGATTATTTATTTATTTGGGTTAAATTATTTTGCTTGTTTTTATTTACTTTTATTTTTTATTTTTATTTTTAAATAGCCGAGTAAAATAACAGCACTTGTGGCCTGCTGATTGCATCTAGCATGAAACAGACTGTCCTCTAAGTGTTGACTTCTATGTTCACTTTTATATATATATATATATATATATATATATATATATATATAAATATTGTTCCTTCATAGTCATTAATCATCTACATCTTGAACAAAAACTTCATCGCCCTTCTTGGAGCCTTGACTTCATGAATTTAAGCATGCTACTAGATTGGCAGCTTAGTCTTACCGTTTTACTATTGAATTCACTGGATGCAACCATCTGTTTTATTCCAATAGTTTCTTTTTGCACCTCTAGAACTCCATTCCAATTTCTTGCTTCTGTGACACCTACAGTTTTCAAAAATTTAAATGCAAAGCCAATCATCATTTTTCTTTCTTTCTGAATCCTGTTCTTTTCTTGTGCTTTCCCCTCACTTCAGTTTCCTCATTCTCTTACACTCCTCATGCCCTTGCGTTCCGATTACCTAACTTGGAGTGAAATGATAGAAAAAAAAAAGAAGTAAAATTCAGCATACTCTACCAAATATTCCAAGAAATAGAAATGAATACCTCTGTCATCAGCAGACTCCTCCCTCAGGTATACATTGGTCTCAGGATGGAATGCAGGATCATTGTCTTCTTGGTTCTGTGACACCTACAGTTTTCAAAAATTTAAATGCAAAGCCAATCATCATTTTTCTTTCTTTCTGAATCCTGTTCTTTTCTTGTGGCCTGCTGATTGCATCTAGCATGAAACAGACTGTCCTCTAAGTGTTGACTTCTATGTTCACTTTATATATATATATATATATATATATACATATATATATATATGTATATATATATATAAACATGCCAGGTAAAACAAGGGAGAGATAACAGCTAAGAGAGTATGTTTATCAAAAGATTGAAACAATAAAAGATAGAGACGAGAGAGAGAGAAGAGAATGTGTTTATGCATCCGTGCGTGGGAGAGTTGTTATTTGAGTACATTTGTAATGTGTGAATAGAATGAATATTGGTGTGTTGCATTATTATGTTTTGTTTTTGGGAGTATTTTTTTTAGAAACAATTACTTTGCTTCACAAATAAAATGTCTGAATTGTTTCCTTGCAGATTAAACTGTTTAATATTTTTCTCTTAATAAGAAGAATATTGCAATAACTGTTTCCATTGCTGCTTAATAGAGACTAGCTTTAAATAGCAGAAGCTTGTTATTAAAGATGTAAAAAAATCTTCCATCATTATGCATTGTTTAAACAAACATTTTTGAAGAGATGCTGAAAGGTTCTTGGCCTGACCATGTAGGAATGCCAAAAAAAAATGTCATGTTTTTCTCATTTGGCTAGAGTTTGGGAAGCAGAACAACTTGAGAACATTCCAACATACCTTTATACATAAGAGTAAGAGTCAAGGTAATACCCCAATGTATGTATGTATATAATCAATATTTAATTATTAATAGAAATACACATCTTGATTGGTGTTAGTTCTATCCTCTTTAAGTCAGAAAATG